GGGAGTTGAGGCAGGAGCTGAAGACACTGAGGGCAGAGTACGAGAATTGTCGAACCCGGTATGAAGATGAGCGAGCGCAGTTGGAGAGCGATGTCCAGGACTTGAGGTCAAGGTTGGCGTCCCTGGAGAAGATTAGCCAAGCAGACAAAGCGGAGGTGATTCGTCTGGAGAAAGAGCTCCATCTGGCCAGCAGCGCTGCAGGAGAATCACTTGGCAGCCTCAACGTGGCCCAGGATGAGCTCATAGCTTTCAGCGAGGAGCTGGCCAATCTCTACAACCATGTGTGTATGTGCAACAATGAGACCCCTAACCGTGTCATGCTCGACTACTACAAGGAAGGCAAGGTCATGGTAAGAAGGGGGCAGGAGCAACAGTCTTTCATTCTTATCAGTAATGAGCTGATCCCTGGGACTGAACCTGGAAAGTCAGACTCCAGCATCACCACAGTTTCCCCAGCTCCGGCCCCAGAGCACCGCCCAGAACCCATGAACATCTATAACATCGTAGCCATCATCAGGGACCAGATCCTCCACCTTCAGCAGGCCGTAGACCGCACCACAGAGCTGTCACGCCAGAGACTTGCCAATCTGGAGCTGAGCGCAGTGGCAGACAAAGACAAAGAAGCTTGCATGGAAGAGATCCTGAAACTGAAGTCCCTGCTCAGCACCAAAAGGGAACAGATAGCCACTCTCAGAGCTGTGCTGAAGGCCAACAAGCAGGTCAGAAGACCACTCTGTGTCTGTATGTGCATGCTTGTGTGTATGCATACCTGCTGTGTTTTCTTTCTCAGAGGAAGGATGTTCATTGTTCCTCAAACTGACACACACAACAGAATCATTGGCTTTAGCTTAAAATAAGCGCTGAATTTAGACTTTACTTAAGTGTGAGCAGTTAGTAATTATATAAAATCTTATTCTCTTTAGACCGCCGAGGTTGCTTTGGCCAACCTGAAGAGCAAGTATGACAGTGAGAAGGCCATGGTGACCGAGACAATGATGAAGCTCCGCAATGAACTCAAGGCTCTGAAAGAGGATGCTGCTACGTTCTCCTCTCTTCGAGCCATGTTCGCTACAAGGTATGATTATACATAATCAATGATTTACATTTACTTCCCGCTAAACATAAAATTAACTGTAATGTGGCATCCTGATGGCCAAGGGGTCCAGGGCACACGCTATAACTCATGCACTATCTGCTCTGATCTGCTACAGGAAACATCAATAACATTGATTTATCTTTATGTTCTGCTAATTCTGTCTCTTTTCAGTGTCTTTTCCTAGTAATGAAAAAGAATAATTTGAAACTTTAGCGCTTATTCTGAAACTGTTTTGTTTGAGTGTCTGTCTGTGTATGTTTGTGAGAAAGACACAAAGCATTGTGGGAACAGTCTGATGTAATACTTGTGCGAGTCAGCTCGCAGGGACCTCATCCTCCCATCTGGAAAATGCTGTCTGGGGAATGGAGAAAACATGTGACAGCAGCAGCAGCAGCAATCCAAGGCAAACTGCTCCACCTGCTGGTGATAATGCTTATCTCTTGTTTTCTTCCCTCTCCCCTTCTCGCCCCCGCTCTTTTTTCCGTCTCTCCCCTCTCTTTTGCTCAGGTGTGATGAGTATGTGACCCAGCTGGATGACATGCAGAGGCAGCTGGCTGCTGCTGAGGATGAGAAGAAGACCCTGAATTCTTTGCTACGTATGGCCATCCAGCAGAAACTGGCCTTAACTCAGCGCCTGGAGGACTTGGAGTTTGACCATGAGCAGGCACGGCGCAACAGTGCCACAGCAGTGGGAGGCAAAGGCAAACTAAAGGGCAAAGGAGCCGCTTCCAGCCATCATGTAAGTCAGAGGCTGTACTGCAGAGCTAACTCCGGGGTCACAAAGCATTCTTTCTACCTTATGAAAACGTCTAAATTTGAAAAGTTGAGTGTATGCAAAGGCTAAAAGAAACACAAATCTAACACTGAGCTATTTCGTAGCCATTATACCTCTAACCTACTATATGACATAGCTCCATTATTACTGCTCAATACTTTTGCACTGTTATAACAGTATATGGTGCTCATAATGTTAGACTGGTGAACCATTTCTTTCTTTTGTGTAGATTTTAGTCATTTTCTACCATAAAACAATTGCACATTTAGTTTGAATTGTTGTTGCTTTCTTGGTTAAATTAACACACAGCGCCTATTCATTTGGCACAAGGATGGATGATAAACACAAGTGTTATTTTCCATGTGATATTTATATCTTTATTTGGCTTGATAACCACATGAAACTGGAAGCCTACACGCTAATTTCAATCCAGTTACTTCCCTTCCAGATTTGCTGTGATAAGTATAAGAAGGTATAATTTGACATGGAAAGTACCAAGCTTTTATCCATGTGTGAACGCTGTGACATGTCAGTGTAATGGTGAGTTGTTCTGTGGCTAGACATGGCAATTAGGGTTAAATAATTGATGGTACCACTGGGGATTTTATATAGGACAAACTAAAAGCCACCAAAAATGTATGTATCACAATAAATTATTTAATTGATTAGTGCAATATTCATGTTTTTCTATACTATTGTCTATATTCTTGAATTGTAAAGGTTTGTGTCAGAATACAAAAGTATAAGAGAGAACAGTGGTAAAAACTTAGTAAGTAGTAAAATAGTGTTGAGCCGACTAAAACCTTCCCTGTTGCATGAGTGACTCATATGTTAAGACTGCATGCATAACACATCTCAGTCCTGCTTCCCACAGCCATCTTTTCTGTGTGCCAACTTTCCCAATTGCTAAATTCATTCATAAATTCCATCTTACTAATGTAGTGAAAATTTGAATCAATCAACAATCAATTTAATGTGGTTTTCTTCTGTTTTCTTTCCATTTGCAGTAAATCTATCTGCCAGGTGGCCTTAAGGAGGTCTGTCACAGTGTCTGTGAGAGTCTGTGCTCCTGGGTTCTTCACTCTCTAATCATGGTCCAAATCATGTCATTGCTTACACAAGAAAATGTCCAACAGTATTTGACAAGCGCCTTTTTTTTAGAGTGCCAAAAAACAAAAATCTCTTAAGGTTCTATCAAACCAGTGTGACTGCAGAAAGTATGAGTCATCACATCAGCTGGCCACTGCAGTCCTTCAGTCTTCCAACAATGTACACCACTATTATTACTGAACCAGAGGAAAACTCAAGATGAGTGTTTTGCTGATTACTCATTGCCTGTGTTACCCTGACTGAGCACTTTTTTATTCGCTCTTAGTTGATTCCTCTTTCTGTTTAAAGTCATACTAATTGTTTCAAGTTATATACAATGTTTTACTGTATGTGCACGCCAGGTTCTTGATGACATTTTCAAGTGATTCAGCATATTTTTATCCCTATTTGTTTCAACAAAACCAGAGATTATGTGGTAATTCTTTTTAAAGCAGTACTTTCAACAAACTGGTTGAAATCAAACAAGAGACAAATAAGCTTTTCTACCTTAGTTGTTTTCCTTTTGGCCTTAGATTAAGTGGTGCCTTTCTGATTTTTGATAACCATGTCTCCTGTTTAGCTCATTAAAACATAAAACAATAAATTTTTTTTCAATGTATTCAATTTATATGATCCTACAGATACGGAGCTTCAAGTTCAGGGTCTTAACTAAATTTTGTATGACTGGGTTCCTCCTCTGTGGACATGGCAGAGCTGTTACAAATTTCTGTATGCTTATTATGACTGAGGAAGAGTATTAATGCAAACCTTATTTAAAGATTTCTAAGTTAAGGTCAGATGTTAATAGTATTCATAAACTTTATTCATGAAGGAGAGTCTCTAATGTAATTGTTTTAATACAATTTTTTGTAAACTGTTTGAAAATCCATTGTCTGCAAACAATAAGCCCACAGTGCCATTTTGTGTCGTGTATACAAGTGCAATTTGCAAACATGGCAAAAAAAATGTTGATGTGTTGTAAAAAAAAAAAAAAAAAATATTTTACACATTGTCGCTCACATTCTTGGTCCTAATTGATTTTTATATGTTTTTACTATAACTGCAATTATATTTATTTGACACTGCTCAGACTACAGGATGTCACCATCCTTTTCGTTTCATAAGGGAGTTTGAGTGGAGGTGGCTGCTCAGAATTTCAAGAAGACTAAACTGTGGTAAGATGCTCAGAATTCATAACTGTTGGCTACTGTCTTTGCTTCCAGTTGTGGCTGGTGAGGAAATAAATCTAACTTTCACAATTCTGAGGTCTTTGTTCTTTTTCAATAAAACATAAGTTGGCTACAGTAAGTCTCACAATAAAGGTTACTTCTGTCTTTGTTGGAGAATTAAAGACAGTAACAATTTTTGAGATATACAGACGTAACACACACAAACGTATTCTATTTTACTTGTCAGTAGTGGGTACAATATTTATGATTCTATGGGGTGAGTACTGGATATATTGGCAATTCTTTTCACTGTGTGTATTCTTTTTTACCCCTTAAACTTACAGATCATTAAGTGGCAAAATACATGGTGTATTATTGTGTATACAAACAATACAAATTATATAACATATTTTAATAGGTAATACAATAAATATTGACCTCATACCTACCAATAACGGTAACAGTATACAATAGGTAGAAGAAATATTCAGTTCATTTTACAGTAATACACACCTTTTGTTGTTCAGTCTTAAAGACTACATGGATAAATTAAATTCTGTTAGAAGGTATTGTTATTGGAGGATGATTAAAGTGAACATGTGAAATATTCCCATTTAAATACTGAGATTTACAATGGAAGTTGTACATTAAGAAATGAGGTATAATCTCCTAATCTCTAAAATAAACTTCAGTATATCACAAAACTTAACACAAGTTGACAAGGATCAATCATAAAATAGAAACTTTAAAAACTGCCTAGCTTAGCTTTTGTTCAATTAATTTCTCTTTCCGGTGAAAACTGAAAAAGAAGAGTTTTTTTTTTTTTTTTTTTGGAAAACGTCGACGTAAGGCGCGACTGAAGTGACGTCAGAGGGCGTGTCCAAACAAAGGACAGAGGGGACTCCACAATGGGAGGTTCGTGTCTTTATTTAAACTAACTTACTAGAGAAACGCTCACTTTACCACTTATTTAGACTTCTGTTTCGCTTTAATATCTTCCCAATGGGTCCAAAACACGAACAGTAGCATAGTACTAACGACATGAACGACTTGTCTCGCTTTACCAGTGACAATGTAACGCCTTCAAGTCGTGTTGACGTTTCTGAAAAGTTTTTCCAAGAACATATTTGACCGGAGACAGATGCTTACTTTTCAATTTTCTGTCTACATACAAGTTAAATGACAATGAAGTGTTCTGTCGAAACATTACCAAACCATGTCCACATAGCTACTCCTCTCCTGCCACACTTGCGAGAAAAGACACTTAGAATGTCAAATTACCTCTCAGACGCCTATAACCTCAAGTGAAAAGGCTAGCTTATTATCAAAAAGTGTAGAAGGGAACAAGGGTCTTGATGAAGTATTAACTTTTTTTCCTAATTCCTTCTGATAACACGCACAGACAGTTTTCATGAGCAGCTGGTAGAAGACAGCGCCTTCCTCAAAGCTGAGCAGAGACTGGACACAGAGTTGGTGGACAAACTCATCCTGCAGCTCAACAGAATCTACCCGCAGATTCTCACGGACAAGGAGGCCACCAAAGTAAGTCCTCATATACAATGTGCGTCACTGCCATGGTGGCATGTTGGCAGTGGTGCAGAGTCACAAATAGAAGATGCACCACAGTGTAAAATTATTCTATTTTCAATAATAGTTTCACACTAAAAATGTTCATCTATGTTTTATTTACAAAAGGTTCTTTATTATTATTCATTTATAGTAAAGGTATTCATCACACAGCAGAATGACCACTGTCAATGTAATTATCTTTACTGGACTATTAACTTGCAAGCAGCAATTAAAACTGTAGCTATATATGTGTTGTAGTTTGTAAACTCATGGTAGGTTTGGTAGGTCCTTATAGAATCTTGATTTGAAAAGTAATTAGTAGCCTAACTGTAGCTGTGCGATACATGTAATGGAGTAAGAAAGACATTATTTCCTCCTGAAATTAGGTCAAAGAATGAAGTACTTAAATTTTTAATATATTTAAAATTGTACTTGCATGTTTAAAATGGTACTTACTTTTATGACTGAAGGAAAGGTTATATCACTACATGTAAAATTATTCTAATTCTTCTCAAGCACCTCAATCCACCCAGAGTATCTGGATACAAGCTCCAGTGTCAGTAAGCACCCTAGGAATAATTACAGTTTTGGGATCAAAAATAGCCTCTTATAATCGCTGTTGTTGTTATCCAGTTCCGAAACTTGGATGTGCCCACTAGTGTTCGACTGGGTGAGCTCCTGACAAATCTGCAGGGCAAAGGCGAAGAAGCATGCAAGGAGTTTTACAGGGCTCTCCACTTGCATGTAGAGGAGGTATACTACAGTTTGCCCACTCGGCTCCGCCTGAGAGGTTAGTCCTTATCATTATTTAGATATTATAGAATGGATCATACATATTTAGTTGTGTATACTAGTGTACTCTACTTTTTATTTGCACACCAAAAGTGACCTGTTCTGCTTCCAGATGCCTTGGATCCACTTGCATCTCCACGTGTCTACCGACAACGACATGTTATGAATGACAGAGGTACGTTGTGAAAGGAAAAGATGTCACTATGTCACCAATGTAAACATTCAAACTGTTTTACTATTCAAAAAAAATCTGAAACTGCTAAATGTCCACCAGAAGATGGGTCAGGTAGTTATTTAACAAGCACACCAAATTACTTTGGCATTGTTAACCTCTCTCCAGGTCCCCTCTTCTTTCTGGGATGTTTCGGCGTTGCTATGGGGATGACTATACTCTATTACTACAGTGGTAAGTTGTTTTCCAGTTGTTTAACTGAAAAATCACCTGACATTGTAATTGTGGTGATTAGATATTGCCAGAGTTATTGGATAGTTAATTTGTAACAGCTGTTAATTTAGTGTTACTAAGACAGTGTCCTTTTTCTGTAGAAGCTAAAGTGACGGGAGGCAGTCGGGCCCTCGGGATGGCTGCTCTGGGTCTGAAAAGAAAAGCTCAGGAGGTTCTTATTTGGTACACTGAAGAAAGCCTCATGAAATAGGGGGCGATTCCTTCATACCAGGTGCTTCAGCAGTACTGCTCCATAGAATAGCCTACTAGTCATACCAAAGCACAGCACACTATCTTCTCAAGGGTTCAATACTAATTTTGTACACAGTTTTATAAATTATTTTGTTACATTTGGCGCTTTGCCCCTCTTTACTCTCATGTTTATGTCTATTTAAATAGGTTAAAGAAATGCATACTCTCGATTTACAGGAAGATTAAACAATGTAGTGTCACAAATGTGGTGTAAAACCATCTTTACACCAAGGTTCAGGTGGGTAACACCTAAAGTATTTTTTTGCAGTATGCTGAACTATGTACATTTATTTGTGTAACTGAGAATTATGCTGCTTTATCTACTCAGTCACCTCTGATATCAAGCATATTGAAATAACTTCAGTGTCCATCCCAAATGAATTCAGACTAGAACATCATCGCCATCTTGCGGTCAGAAGAGGAGCTACAGCACCAAATGTAGCCTGGTTTATATTGGTTTCAGAAGAGCCGCCGAAGTTCTGCTGTTCACATTTAGACAAAAAAGAGATTAGTCCCGTGACCAGCCAGAAATAATATTGAGCAGTAGCTACATTGTGATATTTCAGCATGGATGTATTATTAGGACTTGTGTTACATCCATGTATTTCTGTCCAGTTCATAGTTTATAGCTTAGCGATCACGTGATTGCTTCAACCAATGATATCCCGCCGTACCAGCGCAGTGCATTATAGGTAGGATTACGACCAAAACAATTTAAAATATACGAACATCTAAGAGTTGTGATAATGAAGCGTTTACACAGACCAACCGGATATAAAGGAAACATACCAGAGTTTTGTTTTGCAGATATAATACTTGGAAACTTGGAAATGCACCATAAGTGATACTACGTTGTATAACTCCTCATATATATAGTGACGTGTCCCTTCTTTCACATTGTGTTGTATGAAAGGAGAGAAGGTTAGCACTCCCCTTGACAAGGATGGAATTGGCCCTTGTGGCCTGCAACACATATACGGTTAAGGCATTGCCACCTACTTCGTGGCATCTCTAACCAAGTTTTTTCACGAGTTAAACATTAATTTTAGACAAAGACTGAGAACGTAAACAAATGATGTCGTTATAAATTATTAACTACTTATCTCAAAGCACGTCTCCTGTTCACACTATTTACTTTAAAACAGGAAGCATGCCTAAATATTTCCCCTTCTTGTTTCCTCTGGGTCAGCTCAGGATGAGAATTTTTTTTTTCTGGTTTGCTCGTGGTAGCCTTTAGCCCAGTGCTGAATACACGAAGGATTGCCGCAGATTTTACATTTGTTGTGTTCTGTTCAGTTTGTGAGAGATTTATCCCAGCCTCAATAATTGATAGATATTGCGTCCAATACTGTGGATATTTTCTTGTTCTTAATGTGCCTTTTTTCAGTTAGTTAGTTAGTGATGAGCCTATTTTAAATACAAAGTACTACAGTAAATTAATAGACCCCAAAATGGCAGACATATTACATTTGATGGTATTTCTCAGGCTGTTTGTAAACAATTTCATTAAAATGTATGACAAAGATCTTCAGAACATAACAGTATGGTGCTTTGTTAAAACCTATTTCTATGTGATGGAGGTTAATCTTCAGGATTTCAAAAGGTTATGTCAGAAGTGCCTCAAGATACTTTTGCAGCTTGTATTTGTAACACTTTTATAATATCATTCTAAAGGGAAATATTGGTGTTTGATTTGTGTCAGTTGTCAATTCATGTCTACTCATTGATCAGTGCCTAACAGTCACATTCTCTGTGCACTCTGCCATGTAAAAATGCCTTATCATATGATTGAGACTTATGTCTTTGTACAATAAAAACTATGCATGATAATAATTAACAACATATCACTTTTGTAGTTTCATTTATAAATTTATTCAAAATAGTAGTCATAATGTGTAAAACAAGATAATTTAGCGAAAGCTAAGGAACATTTTTTTGGTCCTTTAAAAATAAGTCTTTTAAAAATAAACACATACATACACTAAAAGATATATTCGTGTAAATCAGTTTAAACATTACATTACTAGACTTTGCATAGAACTTAAAAAAACAAAGGTCCACTTCATTGGATGAGGTTTAAAACGCTGTAAAACAATATATTTGCCCCATAATGAAGCTGTTGGGTAATACCTTGATCAGCAGTAGAGCCAAAATGGATCCTGTTGCAATTTCATTTGGATTATGCTGTGGTGACTGTTACGTTTTCTTCTTTTCAGTACACATACATTAGGCTTATTCTGACAGATACTGACAAATTTAAACTTCCAAATAACAGTAGAACGTTTGTTTGTTTGTTTTTCCCCAGGAAACATTAACAGTGGTTGTGAGTGATACACAGTATATTGCTCCTAATATGTTTGTTTTCTAAGTAAAGGCAATCATTTATTTGCATCAGCAACCTGAGCATGATAAGAGGTAACAAAGGGGAGAATTGCACCACATCAAATGAAAACTGACGACACATTTGTCCACAGTCATAGTTGGTGAAGAAGGGAATGCCTTTAACACACACACACACACACACACACACACACATACACACACACACACACACACACAGCCACAGCAGACAATGTCACTTGATCCGCGGGGTACGTTGGGCCTCCTCAAGCTTGGGAGATTGACTTACAGAACAGCAAAGGCACCTGCATGCTATTGAATCTGGTGAATACATATCCTGTCCATTTTTATAAATAATGTGGAGGTCCATCTTTACTGAGTCGATCAGTAGGCTTAGTAGGTCATGTAGCAGGTGATTAAGCACTTGGGATGGGCTGCTGGACACCGAAGGCTGTGATGAAGACGTTGATGACGACGATTACAAAGACAAAGGCTGTGGCAACATTTTCCATGATGTTCAGCTTGTAGTGCATGCTTTCGTCATTCAGGTTCCACTTAACTGGGGACAGAAACATGACACATGAAGACGTTACAGTTTTGCTTAGACAGTAGGAGTGACCTCCTTTTCCCAGGAGGTGGCAGCACAGAGTTTCCTGTCAAATTTGCAGGAAAGCAATCATTACTGAAGACTAACATATAAATTAACAGCATCTGACAGCACTGGCCTCAGGTGAATAATTAGCTTCTTCCTCCATTAGAACATTACACGCTTCGCTGGTCTGAGAGAGGCACCTGTGTGAATCTTCTTTTAGTCAGAGGGAAGGTTTGTATTTTTACACACCCTCTTAGTACTGGTAAATCTCCTATGACATACTATATTTTACAATAATGAAGAGAGCTATTTTAAATTGGAAACAGCAGCAAGCACAGGCAACTTGGCAGCTACTTTTTCCTGTTGTGGCTCTGTAAACTCAGTCTATGTTTGTTTTCTAAGTAAAGGCAATCATTTAGGTTGCTTATCTTGGCATTGCAGGACCAAAACAATACATATATATTTTTAGTATGCCTTAGTATTAAACTGAAGGTGTAAGGATAAAGGGTTCAATATGCTGCGCAGATTATAAAACACTTTGAAACAACATATGGGATTTTGGGCAAAATGAACAAAACTGACTTTACTTGGCTTCACTTTCTGTAAATCTTCTCATGGGTAATTGAATTGAAGTTTGCGAAATAGAAGTTAAGAAATGACCTCCGAACATACCTATGAAGATGAGCATAACTCCCACCACGACTTGTAGGATGAGAGAGATGCTAATAAAAGTAATGAGGGGCACATAGAAGTTGGAGTCTGGTCCTTGCTGCAGCACAGCCTTCAGCTGTGAAGCATTAGCCATCAGTAGAGCCACGTCCAGCATGCTTTCTGCTGCACTCTTCTTATTGGCATAATGGTTCATGTTCAGGGGTCTCGGTTGCCTCCTCCATGGGTCTCGCAACGGTACCTGAACACAAACACAGACCTTGACATCAGTATGACACAAAGAATCACATATACAGTAAGTGACATCTGGTGATATAATATCTGACCCGTGGGCTTGATAATCCATTTTCAGCAAGGTCAGTGGAGGATTTCAGATTTGTCTCCAATGTTCTTTTATTAATGGTTCCATTATGGTGGATTCCATTTACATTAAAAAATAAAGTAATCAGATGTCACTAAATAATTCTGTGATGTAAAAATTAGTAATAATAATTAATACATCTCTAAATAAGCCTCAACCATCAGTGTCCTGTGTTGGTAAAAAAAACTCAATTTTGACATTTTTGACTTTTACTATTGTAACACTCACACTGCCAACATGCCTGATTTTCTGTCCTGAAACTTGTGTAAACGTGGTATTTAAAAAGTTTCTTTAACATGGAGAAAATGAAAGCAATCTAATCTAAATTCACATATGTCAATAAACTCAAGGCCTGTTTAAAATTAGTACTATCTGCTGTACTGATGACAAGAAGAATCACATTTAACTGACATACTTCGTGGTAATTGTTTTGTAATACCATTTAGTGTGAGTGTTATAGTATTCATGTGTGAATCACTTTTTAGTTTGACCGTTTGAGTTATAGAACAATTGAACCAACTGAATAAACTGAATGCATGCAGTATGGTGACATCAGAACTGATCAGTAGGATGACAAAAATGTGACACAAAATGATGCAATCATGGTGCTTTTTTCGAGGGAAACTGTAATGGAAGTGAAAGTGTTCAGTCAGTGACAAATTCAAACAGGGAAACTTTGTTTAACCAGAAAGGTAATTTGGTCAGTTTTAGTTCAGGGGTCAAAAATAATTCGTCACATCTTTTGTTTCGAGTTGACAAGGCCATGAAACACAAGAAGCTAAAATAGCCTCCACCCAAATACAGTGGAAAAATTGAGTAAAGACTCACGTGAAATAGTAAATGTGAAAGCACACACTTCTAGCAATAAGGAAACTCACTTGCTCACCACTATCATTATAAGATTATTATTAGATATTCCATGTTATTTCTTAAGTAAGTAAAACAAAATATGAAATATGTATCCTTGTCGAGAGTTAAAGTGAGAAGAATTTCGTGTTCCAGTAACTGCCAGACAGACTGGCTAATCTATCCAGGAAAGGTTTATGTCAAGGAGTCCATTTCCTTCCTTTTTGTGGCACAGCAAAGAAAGAAGTTGTTTCTTTTTCAGTTTGTTCTAAAACTGAAGTGAGGATGTGGTAAACGGTTCATTTAAAAAGCATAGATATTATACCACAAGAAACCAGGGTCAATACCAAGACCCCTGTTAATACTTAGTATGAGTTTAGTACAGTGCTCAGGGTTTCAGTTCAGCTGTTCAACTCAGCATTCCCCTTTGTTCACCTCTGAAAATCTGCCAAGCCACAGAAGAAGAAGGGTTCTCTCATAGTAGACCAAAAGATGAGTATGAACGCTCACTAGTGTCACGTATTGAATTCTGTTTTGACAGTTTCATTTTCCGTTTTGGTAACTGACTTCTTATAATAATATAAATATAAATATAAATATAAATAATAAAACTATGAGTGGCAAACATTAAATAATTACTGTACACTGCTTTATGTATTTTTTAGTTGATATTACTGTAAATCACTGTTTTTATTTATTTATTTATTTACCTTTTTATTCATTTACAGGTGAAGCTTGATACCATGTACAATACATTACTGATTATTTCCAATCATAATTTTTCTAACAATGAAGCTTATGAAAGCCTGAAACTGACTATAATATTATTATCAAAACATAAGTTCCCAGAGCCTAAGGGGACATCTTCAAATTGCCTGTTTTGTCTGACCAACACACATCACAAATTTCAATTGAACTTATTTATACTTATATTAAACTTATATGAAAGTAAATTGTGACTTTTGGAAGCTGGAAGCAGCAAATGTTTCGCAACTGGCTTAATAAATTCTGTAAAAACTGTATCTATCTTTAATACAGTTGTAGTTTTCTGTCAGTTCCAGCACTGTACACATAAGAGTAACAAAGATTACTGAGCATCCCCCACTGTAATTTGCAAAAAAAAACAAAAAACAAAAAAAACAACAAAAAAACAATTACATTGCACTTGTACTAATAACTATACTAATGTAACAAATATCATTAGTCAGTGAAATAGCCAGAAGCAGTTTTACTTTTTAATATATAGACAACTTCCCATTTAATTTTTGTAGAGACCATTTTCCAATGTTATTATTATTGTTATTATTATTGTTGTTGTTGTTGTTATTATTATTGTTGTTGATGTTATAAAGCTTGTTAAGCATGAAGGCTTTTTTTTAGCTATTGAAACCTTCTGGGCCAAGAGCACAGACATTTGGACAGACCTTCCTGATAAAGGACAAAGACGAAGATAGGGGATATATGATTCTTGAGTGTGACCAAGTTACAACGGGCACAGTTTTAGCCCATTAGGTCAAATCATAATCCGGGCTCGGGTCACAGGCTGAGTTGATCCACATGGATTCCTTTACAGGGCAATGATCGTACACTGTTCTCACATGGTCCTCTGTGTCGCCTGTTATTACATGTAAACTGAACCTTTGAGGGCAACAGCAGGGGAACAGAGGCAAAGTCCAACACGAACACGAGAGGGTTTGGAGATGAATGAAATGTTCAGATTAGTTTTGAAATTAGAGCTAATCCAAAAATCAAGCTAGCCGGTTGCATTAGCTTAATCAATTCTTGTCAGGTTGCGATGGCTAACATCAAACATAAAGATGTCTGGATGGATGAGAGACTCGGATGAAAATCAAGAGAGCCAAATATTTCCTGTGATACCGATGAATGTCTCTAATTGTACTGACCGGGGAGTCTTTCTGTGGAAACTCACCCATGGCTCAGTTTGACCAGGACATTAGTGGAGGCTTAACATTATTGAACACGAAGCTATAGTTTCTCTTTTTTACCGGGGACCAGCGCCGCCTTACCTCCGCCTCGCCGTTTGGGTCAGCATCCCCGTTCATTTCCAAGTGTTCCGTAGCCATCTTGTTGATAAACTGCCTTATATCCCGAACAGATAGATCATGTATATAGTGGAAGAGTGTTTGGTCCAGCCGGCGGGCACCAGCTCATTGTTTATAGAAGCTGCTGTGACGACAAAAGGGGAGAAAAGCCTCAGACTACCGCCCCAAAAGTGGGGGTGGCGATTCTTCAGAAACCTGTGGATATTTGAAGAAGTGTGAGCAGGTCAGGATAACCCATGAGTATTTCTGTTCATGGGTATATATGAGTATTTCCGTTCAGTTGGACTGAAAGGCTGATGTTGGGCAGATGTTGCAGTTGTAGACATTCATTGACAGACTGTACAGGCAATGTGACTGTATACCGCCACCATGCGTTTCAACCGGATATTGCACGCCCAGCTGGCTCATATTGCTCCAGCAAGTATATGCTATGAAACACGCTGAAGTTTGTCATAATTAGATTTAACAATTTTGCTCAAGGCTTTGTACCACGTAAACACGACATCAACTTAAATAGGAAAAGTATTCAAATTACATTTTGATATAGAGTCCCTCTCAAGACATCAGTGCTCTTATTATTTCCATATTACTGTATTATTATTATATTATTATTACTATTATTATTATTAATATTGTAAGATAAAGTCTTACACTTTGATGATGATATTCACCTTTCCACTTATGACAAGTCAAACTTTAAACTTCTGATTTGATAAGCTGAGGGTCTATAGAGATAAAGCAACTCTTCCAGACACCAGACTCCATGTTATTTTTGTATCATATTTGACACTTCAAATTGACACTTCATTATCACTCATGCAAGGTTTCTTGCATGAGTGATAATGGTACTATACATTTGTTAATACAAATATCAAAAGTTGGTTTTCTACCACAAGCACATCCTTTAATTCCTGTATGTGTTTCAAGCAAAGTTGACAAACCAACAGCAGCTTGATTTAGACCCAGCTTGGACCTTTATCCAACAAAACACATGTGGCCTTGTGTGACCACAAAATGGGAGCCATGTGAATAGGATGACCAGCCACCACTTTAATTGTCACATTCATGGTGTCTCATTGTAAACTGGCCCTCTTAGGTCTGGAACCACCCACTCAGTGGTTCCTATTATTTCCACTGTTTCCCTGGTGATCCGGGCAGGTTGTGTTCCTCAAAGCCGACCCTATAAAATTCAAAACAATCCCTTCAGGTTAAACCTTGTGGAGAAAAAGATACTTTTGAGCCCTTAAGTAAGACTTCTGATCTCACAGTTCTTGTCCTTCTCCTTATATCTCATTACCCTTAAGTCAAATGTAATGATTCTGAATCATAGAACAAATATTTTTTTTAAAGTTTCGAAAGAGAAAAAAATGAGCCTGGTCCAAAACAGGGAAGATAATGACAATATGCCCTCTGTACCCCCATATCTGACCTTTGTGTTGGCCAGAAATCTCAACACAGCAAATTTATTTATTTCATAGACTATTTGTATCTTAAGTGCTTTGAACAAATGATAGAGTTGTAAAAAATGGGCAAACTTTAAAAGCTTATTAACTCCCGATCAGATTGAAACAATCCTGTAATTATTCTGTTATCATGCATGTGTTTGAGAAAAGAAAATACTTGAGCAAGCAGTTCAGGAGAGCGTCTCAGCCCTCTAACCTCTCAGCACGGGGTCCATGTGGAAGAGTGAAACATTAAGATGTCCGGTGCGTCCTATCCAGTGTCCCATAATTCCTAGCAGCGTCCCTTTTGGTTGGTAGGCTTTAAGAGTCATCTTCCCATTGGAGGCTGAGCGCGTCACGATGAGGGCGGACAGTGGTGTGGTCCACACAGCCCGTGTCAGGGGAGGCTGAGGGTGCCGCCTAAAAGCGTGCCGAGGTATTGGTTACGTGTTGTTGCTAGGGGCGTGGGTTGTACCGTGAAATATTCTACTTTCCCCGAACCTGAAAGAGGGATGAAATTCACTGAGACAACAGTCGTATCAGCTGGACGAGAGATGCGCTGACAGCCGCCTGCTCCGACCTGAGGGAAACTGTGCCGCAGTGAGCATAATCTGATAAGCGCTTGTGTCCATCCTGCACTCCGCTCCGGGACAACACTATGGAGAGAGAGAGAGAATAAAAAAAAAAAAAAAAAAAAAAACAGTACGTGCGGATAGTTAAAGGAACAATGCAGAGATGCTGAGGTCACACTTCTCGGAGCTGATTCAGGCTTTCACCCGAAACACCTGCTATTTATTTGCCTCAGCGAGAGCCCAGGTCGATGAGCGTTTACAGAGAATGACAGCTGCGCACTTGGCCGTCCCGTGATGTGTCTTTTGGAGGGATTAATGCGTGGCAGAGCCTAAACACCCTGGCCTGTCCACTGTAGGCCAGTGATCTGTCTGCGGAACATATCACCTTTTTTTTTTCCACAGGCTAGTATGCGCTGGAGAAGGGGACCCTATGCAGTGTGGAGGAAAGTGTTTTCGTGAGCTCATAGGTTAAACTGGCAATGACATCAGGCTTAACTTGAATAGCTCTGTGCTGTACTGCAGCAAGGTGGACCCGGGGCGTGAGGTGGCAAGGAGCAATGCACGCATCCTCCGAGCTGGACATTTTTGTCGGGATGTTCTGTGTGCTAAACAAATTCAAGGCATAAGGCCATATACACCCTGAGCTGGCGAACTGCGTCACTGCACGCGAGTGTTGCAGGTAGGCAGCAAACTCTCCCACCGCCGGGAGAGGAGCATGCTCATCATCCTCCCCACACAATGTCGCCGGTAGGCTGAGTCTTCAACAATTACCCGGGATGGATTCGGCGGACGATTCAAGCAAAGATCCGCCACTGGGATCCACATTTTCCTCAGCACCCAATTTAGACTCGGACATTAATGCAAATGCCTGTAGGCCTATCTATGAGAATGGGACAGACCACCATGTCAACATACAAAACGCAGCCCTGCGAGGAGCCAGTGACCCCAGCGCATACCCCTCCACAGACTACCGAGGACTCATCCGCCAGAGGTTCATCCGGCGGAGTTTGTGGGTGTCAGACTCCGAGGAGCAGCAGCCGGTGGACACGTCGGAGTGTGTCAACAGCAGCCCGGTGCTCAACATTGACCTGCGGACCATCGTTGATCGGAGTCGGACCCGGGTTCTTCAAGGAACCCGCCTGGGTCTCCAGGAGCCCCCCAGCACGGAGAGCCAGGTGGGGCTGAAGGAGAGCGTCACAGAGAGCGTGAGCGCAGATGAGGTGAAGAAAGACAGGACCGAAGCCGAGCCCGAGGCTGAGGTCGTGAACTCGGATGTCACAGGTAAAGCAGGAAGTGACGAGAACGAAGAGGAGCCCGGGATGAAGGCTGTGTCCACCTCACCTGGCGGGCGCTTCCTCAAGTTTGACATTGAGCTGGGGAGAGGGTCCTTCAAGACGGTCTATAAAGGTCTTGACACCGACACCTGGGTCGAAGTGGCGTGGTGTGAACTCCAGGTGGGTTCATGTGATCATTCAAGTCCGTCATCAATCAGCCAATAGCACCCTGTTATTACAGGACTCTAAAGCAGTATTTGTGATTGTCTTGTTGAAAAGACACCTGCCCTGAAAGGTCTTTGTTGAGTGTGCAGCCTGGGTTACTGGTGACCAACATGTGCACAACCAGGGGACTTTGTGGAGGTCATGTGGGTCCACAGCAAACACAGGACTAGTTTAATTCAACTCTAATTTATTCATTTAAAGTTGAAACAATGAGAAAATATAATGATACATTCTCACCAGATCAAATCTAACAAACTCCCAGGCCAGGGTCTTTCAGGGTATTCTGTGTATTTGTTGTTTGTCCTCCCCCTGACAGGTTCAGCAATGTGTCATTCATGTCATGAGAAACATCAGCTTAACCAGTCAGCAGCCAAACCATTTAATTTGTGTTATTTACTTTCTTATTGATGATCAGAAATGATCAAAAGAAGTTCAGTTCTGTGTTTTAATAACCTCATATTGCTGACATGCTGTGCCGTACAGCACCCAGGTGCGATGTTGTTTTACCCCATTCTGTTTTCCATCTTCTTCTAGTTTATGAGCCATCATTGAAATATTTGTTCTCCCTGGGCAACCGAGGAAAAGTATATTGTTCAGAGTATTGTTATAGTGCAGATAGGAAGGGAAGAAGATGTTTATTGCTTATGTAGCTTTTGACTCTTTGTCAGTTCTCACATTACACCAGGTTTCAGTTGTCTACATGTTGTCATTTAGTTTTGTGTCGTCCAGATTTACAGCTGCTGTGATTTTTTCTAAACCTACTGAAAAATACTTTGGAAAGATGATGAGGTGTCCAGAGGTACAGAGCTTAGTTTACAAAGACCTTATAAAGTCTGTACACCTCTTCTGAATACTTCCTTGACTAGATTTGTATTGAATGCCTTCTGCTCCTCAACAGTATTCAGTCCTTATACACAATGTCAGCAGTTGAAGATGATTACAAAGTATTTTAGCAGGGGCTATTATACAGCAAACACATAGCTTCATAGCAGTGACAGCTTTCTGTATCACTAATCTGTGTATGTGGTAATCTAATGATCAGTTTAGATACTATCCATGTGATATACAGATTAGCCTGGAGGCAGACCTGTAGACAGTGGTTGCCCTTTCAGGGCTCAAAATGTGCTAAGCTTTTGCGGTCAGTCCAGAGCAAATTACTGCCAGGAGATTATATTTGAAAACAGTAAATTAAGTATAATGAAGCTGTGAGAACAACAACCTTTTTACAGTATTCTCTGGTGAAACAGCAGCACAGTCTCCTGTTTTGTTTTTTGTTTTTCAAAAAAACAATGTGGACACATGCACATCTTAGATTTCAACTTACTCAGCCTCTCTGTCCTTTTCAAAGTTCATTGCTTTGTCCTAAGAATTTATAAAACACTTTCTTTTCTTATGGATTTATTGAAACACATGTTCATTGTACTGCCTTAAGTATATAAACAATCTGTTAAGTCCAAAACGGTTTTTGCAGCAGTATGCTTTTTTCTCCAGCAAATAATTTTAGCACACTTTAAGCTGCTTGTTGTATTGTTTTAGTCAGTGCACTGGCTGGTTCTTATATACTGGGGTTTAGACATTTTGCAGGGACCAAAAATGTCAATCAAGATGGCTCAGGCTTAGTCAGCACCCCAACATCATTTTAAGAATCTTTAATTTACATTAAATTAAATCATAATAAGAATAATGTTTGGGAGTCAGCCCCTAGTTGATTGTGCGCAGGGTAATGTAGCCCTGCTGGGGACTGTGTCATCCACTGCATGTCTCCCACACAGTGGGTGAGAGAGTCCTGAACAGGGCCATGGGTAATTTAAAGTATAGGTCCTGGTGACATCCCAGGTTTAAGCCTTGGCTCTCTACTTTAGTAACTTGTATTGAATAAAAGTTCACAGTATTGCTCATATTGAAATAACACATTAAAATTCAGTCATTTGAGTCTTCATTAGGGATTTAAAGGGATTTAAAGTGCGACTATTTTTTTTCAGTATTCCTTGTCATCTGTCAAAAGAGAAACCGACTACTGGTGTTTTTTTTAAACACTTCTACATTATTAACATGAATTTAAATTTTTTTGAATGTCGAATAGGAAAAGCATGTAACAGCAATAGTATATGCACAGTATTTGTGTATATATTTGCATTTGTGTGGCGTCCGAGCGGGTTCTTAGGAGAGCTCTAGTGATGATTCAACCATTCAGTCCCTGGAGGTGAGGCCTTGCCCTTCAGAGCTTCTGTGCATGTGTGGCTCGCTCACAAAAAGCTGCTGTAACCCAAATGCTGTGTGTGTGTTTGGGGGTAGAACTAAGAGTGAGACAGCAGAAAACTGGATGCTTATAGAAAGATTTATAAATCAGATTTGAAGAGGAGCTGGTGCCCGGTGTTGAGCAGGCCAGACAGCTAGTCTTGTTACTTATTTATCTACTTAATGATGATCAAACATCTGCTGAGCAAGTTGTTTACCCGAAATTTACAAATTATGCAACACAATTTAGTAAAATGCCAAAATACTTTTTCACTTGTTATTATTTGTCTTGTTTGATGGCTTAGTAATGAATGCTAAACATGGATTTATACCCCTGTGGTATTACCACACAGATGTGTCTGGAGAGTGAATCCTGCTGATGCAGCCCTCTGCACCAAGACAGGGAGAGAGAGAAAGGGTGGGCTCATCTAAGGACAGCGTGTAAGAAGTATAGTACTGGATACACAGCAGAGCAAGAGAGCTATATTTTCTAATTGCAGTGTTATTGTGCTCAACATTCCACAGTACATTAAATACAAACATCAGTGCTGCCAACATGTGTTTTACCCAGTTTTTATTGTACTGAACGACTTCTGAGTAAAGCAGATGTGTTGTAAGTGCCACACCCTGTTTAGGTCTGATCTCTGCATAGAATGTTTGATAATCTGTTGGTAAACTCCTTAGAAAATAAGGCAACATGGACAGAGAGGTGAGATGAAGTCTAATACATTCGTTCTCACTAAGAATCAGCATTATGAAAGTAGCTAAAGCAGGAGGCGTATCGTTCACAATGCTGCACATAATCTCAGATGCATTAGGTTGCACACTGCATAGGCCGCTATGGACTGTGGATGAAATCTAATTCCCCAGCATCAGTCAATAATCAATGACAAGAGATGTACAGTAGGTTATTCTGCACCCAAGACATTTAAATGCACCCTCATTGTTCCCATTAAAATGTGTCTGTGAAAGACAGTAGGAAAGGAAATCTGGTGGCCATGTAGCATTTGTCGTGGTTAAAGCCAATTGGTTGTATCTGCCATGCTGACGGGAGAGAAACAGAAATGTAGAAGATGTCAGCTGTTTTACTATTTTTTTTACAACAGTTCAGGGAAGACAGGGGCCAAAATATTGATCCAGCATCACAGATTCTCTCAGGTTTATACATCCAAAGATGTAAGATTGAAACTAATTGTAAAACACTGATCAGTTCAAATATAGAGTTCTTGAAATTTTGAGCTTTGAGATAGAAAACGATATATTTCCAGCTTACTCTTAATGGTTTGTTTTTGTTCCATTATTCACCAGCAGCACATTTGATGGACAGACGTGTCTGTTTCTGTATTATTAGCTTTTACTTATCAGTCTTCTGAAAATAACGTCAGTATTCTACTCATAGGTCTGAGGTGTTTTAGTGCTGTGTGTGTTTTATACACAGTGGGGAAAAAAGAATAACTGGTTCAGACCCCCATGTCTACCCACTCAAAATACCAAGATTGTGTTCACTCTAAACGTGAGCCACAGGCAATTCTGACAGAGCCCCACTCCTGAAGCAACAATGTGCTATTTAAAGGAGGTTAAAAAAGGAATTGTATCTCTTCAATTACCACTTTATATAACAAAAAATCCGAAAATGACGACGATTCAGCCCCCTCTCTCCTCCTCCACCACCCCTCAAACTTGTTAAATTTAGACAAATTGACTACTCCTGGAGCTTGTTCTCTGATAAGTCTCCAGAATATTGAAAAAAAAAAATGAGTGGGCAAACTTCGAATTCACGATTTCTCATTTTAAAAAATGAATTGTCTTTCTCCATTTTCCCCAGGAACGGAAACTGTCCAAAGTTGAGAGACAGAGGTTCAAAGAGGAGGCAGAGATGTTGAAGGCCCTCCAGCATCCCAACATTGTGCGATTTTATGACTTCTGGGAATCACCGGTGAAAGGGAAGAAGTGTATCGTTCTGGTGACAGAACTAATGACCTCAGGGACACTAAAAACGTAAGAATCACTATGAAAATGCCAACGAAAACAGTTATCTACAATATCTTGGTATGCTCCCCATTTTAGCCAATGTCCTTTTTAACTTTATATTTGACTGTAAATCACTGTTCATGAGATGCAAATATTAGTCTCTTATTGCTGCTTCTTACAGTAACAACCATTAGACTGACATCATGTTGATCAAGTTACATGCCAGCTGAATGACACCATTACAGTAAATCTAATGCTAGACTGTGTGGAGGCTGAAACTCCATGATGTTATTCATGCAAAAAATAAAATGAATAGTTGTGATTTTAGCATTGTTTTTCTCACTCAAAATATAATCAATAAAACAGATTAATTCAACATACATAATGGGCAACACAATGGGACATTTTTTTTTAGGCAGCCAAAATGAGGAGATTAGTTTGAAAATAGAATAGTCATCAGAAATTCTTATTAAATGTGTCTTTGTAGCTCACATTAATGAAAGCAATAACAATTGGCAAAGGAGAAACAGCTTATTGGAAACATTTTATCAACATAGTGGCTAGCTAGGGACATATCATGATATGTCTTGCTGCCAGTTACCATTCAATGTATTTAGAAAATGCTTTTGCCTAGTGTCAACTGGCACATCTCAATCATGATAATGGTGTTTATATTTTCTCACAGGTATCTGAAGCGCTTTAAGGTGATGAAGCCTAAAGTTCTTAGGAGCTGGTGCAGACAGATTCTCAAAGGCCTCCACTTCCTCCACACAAGGACTCCACCAATCATCCATAGAGACCTCAAGTGCGACAACATCTTCATCACTGGTCCTACAGGCTCTGTCAAAATAGGAGACCTGGGCCTGGCAACACTGAAGAGGGCCTCCTTCGCTAAAAGTGTTATTGGTTAGTCATTAGCAAGTTGGCAAGACAATGTTTTATTGAATTGTGACGAACAGAATATTTATTTCAAACCTGCCATAACTTGTTTGGGCCACTTGGGGGAAGCGGAAACATGCTGTAAACACAACAACATCACCTTTTAAGTTGAAATTGTAGCCTTGGCTGCCTATTTACATAGACAGAAGATATGGAGCAACATTAGCATTCATTTGGAGTCGTGATTATGGTAACCTGATGAATGTAACGCCAATATTCACTCTCCTTTTAGCTCTGTTTTGGTCTCCTCCAACTCCTGAAGGAACTACCTGACTCTTAAGCTCACCAGGTAGTTCATAACTGTCTCTGTCTGCCGATTGGTGCTGGACAGGTAGTGTATGGTGAGTTCTTAGAGATTTTTCACTGAAAAGAGCTGCCTGCTGCAGCCTCAAAACAATGCTGACGAGAGAGGTGAGAGTTCCAAAACAGTGAAGTTATGGGCCATAAAAAACCAAAGCAATGACCTGAAAGACACTTAAAAGTTCCTTAGAGCTGAGGAGAACTGCAGAGTCGGATGAAAAGTCTATATGTTATGTTATTAAATGTTACAGCCAAGGATAATTAAATCCTTCCCAGTGCACAATTTTAGTAACTGTTTTGGTTCATAGGAAATAAATGTACCTTAGGATATTTTTACACAGTGGTTAATCCCATTAAAAATCAGCATAGTATCTACTTTAAGCCCATATTATTTTGGTCAAAGTTTTCTCAAATAGCTCATTGCTAAATAATCATTAAATAGATATTTTTGTCAAAGAGTAATCTCTTATAATTGTGTTCAAGTTGCACAGAACATCCAACATTTACTTTTCTTTTCAGTTTCAGCTAATTCTCTTGTCTGTCATTTGTGCAACTAGAAAATTATTGGAATCATGATTTAACTGGTGTGTTGAATTTCAGTCCTTGACCCTGGTATTGATCGCAGTGAAATATAATGAAACACTGATAACAGTGTGTGAGTTCAGAATTTATCACCGTCTCTTGAATTAATTCTCCAGGCACTCCAGAGTTCATGGCTCCAGAGATGTATGAGGAGCATTACGATGAGGCTGTGGATGTCTATGCCTTTGGGATGTGTATGCTGGAGATGGCCACCTCAGAATACCCCTACTCTGAGTGTCAAAATGCTGCACAGATCTACCGCAAAGTCACAAGCGTGAGTTCACGTTCAAAAGTGTTACACTCTGTCATTGCTACTACAACCATTTCAAGTTAGTGTTCGAAAAGGTTTTGAAAATTATGACTAATATGATATATACTAAAATTATTGTGAGGGACTTGCAGACAAGCTTGCAACTAATTACAAATTATTTCACTATCAATTAATCATTTATTTTTAATTGACTCATTAACCACACACTCTTTAAAATGTTAAATTTGATGACACTAAAACCCGATTATTATTCAAACATAGTGATGAAATGGACAAGAAACAAATATCCACATGTTTTGTATCTGTAAATCAAGACTATGTGACTTTTACTGAACAGCAACCACTGTGGCTACAAAATGATAGTCATGTAATAGGCTAAATGCTAAATGCTTAACTGCTGTGTAAGTGATGGTTAGCACTTATCTTAAAATGCTAAATGTTAACAAAGCTAAATGTAACAGTGGCACAAGTGGAGAAGCGTCGTAAAGTCAGTGAACTAACACAGTAGCTATATTTACCTCAAGTTTGCTAACATTAGCTAACATTTGCCATGAAAGCTACTTCTCATGCCTGAGCAAGTAAGCCTGTAGCAGCAAAATCACTGAGTGTCTTGAACTGAGCGATGGAATTTGACTATTTATTTGTTAGAGGAAAAGTGTTTTCTCTCAAAAGTCCCACTTTAACCACTGAATTATTTTATGACTCAGTTATAGCCTAATAATGATAATTTTTTTGTGGATCGACTAATTCCTCAACTAAATGTTGCCTTGCTCCAAAAGTCCCCCTGTGTAGCAGTAACTCCTTTATTATTTATTATTTATCCCCATAGTTGAGATGTCTAAGAAAAACTAAAGTGCTTTGGAGTATCTGTATTTGACACAGACAGTCACATGCTAAGTACTGCTGCTTTGAGTGTGACACTTGGTAAGCTGAGAGATATTAATGCTGGTTTGTTTTGCAGGGGGTGAAACCTGCTAGCTACGCTAAAGTCAGCGACCCTGAAATTAAGGAAATAATCGGGGAGTGCATATGTCACCGATGGGAAGAACGGTAAGTGGAGCAGGATCTTTGACACTGTCTCAGGGCTTGTGACACATTTTATACGTGGGTAGGGGTTGTTTTGTTTCTGTTCATGCATTGTGACATAAATACCTGTGTATGACTCTTGACGCATTTTCTGTGAAAGTGACAGTGTTTCTCTGTGTTGTGTAGCCTTAGCTTTTTCTGTCTCTGTGATGTTCAGTCCAGGTGAGTAGCTGGTGTTTTTGTATATTTCCTGCAGGTACTCCATCAAGGACCTCCTGAATCACGCGTTCTTTGCAGAGGATACAGGCGTGAGGGTGGAGCTCAATGAAGAAGATGATGGGAAGAAATCATCTATTGCTCTAAAGCTGTGGGTTGAAGATCCTAAAAAGTTGAAAGGAAAATACAAGGACACTGGTGCCATTGAGTTTACCTTTGACTTGGTGAATGAGGTCCCAGAGGTTGTCGCCCAAGAAATGGTAAACAAATATTTTGAGTTACAGAAAGACTAATCATATTTTGTTAGCCGACAGACAACAATTTTAGAGTTTGACTTTTTTTTTATTAGGGGTTAACTCTATTAATATTACTTTAGTCTGGTTTAAATGTCCCTGCTCTCTTCTGACCTTGGCTTTTGTTGTAGTCCCCACTCTGGGTGGTTTCTTTTGTCAACTTGGCCATATCCATGGAAAATACTAATTGGCTGGCAGGTGTTTATTAAAATCCTTCGACAGTTCAAAAATAGTTGTAATTCAGTGCGTAAAGAATATTACCATAGCAACAATACCTCTGCCTTTTACAACATTACCAGTTAACTGTGGCTGTTTGCTGAACCATGGGTTAAACTGGCTACAAACAAACTGGATGGTGATTGGAGCACAGTTTCTTTCTTTGCATGTGATAAGTGGTTGTAGTATAAGCACAATAAGACACAGTGAGGTAGTGGAGGAAATGCTTTGGATATATTAGGACAACGTTTTGTGGATTATTAACTTTGTAGTATAATTCCACTATATACTGTGGGTTCTTGAATGTAGTCTAAGTGTCATTTAATGATGCAGTTGTCTTAATTTTGGAACACAATCTCAGGCCCTTTTAATTAGGTGTAATGTAACTGGGAGTAGGTCAGTGGTCTGTAATGTAGGCTCTGTAATGATATACTTGAGGCATGTACTGTATTGATTGAAACTGGAGTTGATATGTTGATTTATTACATACAGTAAGTCGTTGAATTACAATGTTGATGCAGTTTGCTCTGATCTGCAGTGAGTATCTTACCTGTATCCTGTAGGTTGAATCAGGTTTTTTCCTGGACTGCGATGTGAAGATAGTTGGGAAATCCATCCGAGACCGTGTGGCCCTCATCAAATGGAGGAGGGAGCGGACTGTGTCACCAGGAAATGGTGAGGCGCAGCAGAACCTGCTGCAGGTGCCCAGTACCGGTGTGCCACAGGGAGCCACATTAGCCACGACAGATTATGAAGACCAAGAGGTGGAGCCACAGACTCTGATCTGTGCTGTGCCAGCCACCACATCTACCACATGTGAGAACCTGAGCAGAAGCACACATGAACGTATCATATGGCATACAACCTCAGGCTCTTGTAATAAATTGAACCACTGGTCTAACTCATTCAGCTGTTAACAGGACTGACTATGACGTAAAATGGTTAAATTGGTATGCATGAATGTAAGAGAGAAACACGGCTTCTGACCAGCACCTATTAGTCAGCAATGAGACATCATCAACCAGCTTTTGAATTTTAATGAGATGCTACTCTACTGCCTTCTCTCCCTGTCCTTTCTCAGTGTCTGTCCTTCCTGCAGAGGGCATCGCAGTGAATCCTAATGCTTTATTCACTCTGTTATTACAGCTGACAGTGGAGTGAGCTCTACCATGCAATTAGACGAGCTCAGCAATCAGCAAAATGGGCCCTACCAGTCACTTCCAGAGCCCATTTCCACAGCTCAGATGATCTACAGTCCTCCTGCACAGGCTGACCCTCAGCTGCACCAGGGGCCCTACCAGCAACCCACAGCACAGGCCTCACATGAAAACTACACACATGCATCCATGCAGTTACACCAGGGAGCCTACCAGCAAACCACAGGTCAACTGCATCCTGGGGCCTATCAACAAACTGCAGCACAACTGCACCAGGGGCCTTATCAGTCTCAAACAGTGAGTAAAACTATTTCTTATTTCTGTGGCAACTTTCTTAAATTTTCATTTTGCTTTCTGAGTTTTCTGAAATAACAATAACATTCTTATTTTCTTTCTTGCAATGATACCTGATCAGCGTCACTATAGTGATCCCTTTGTATGCCATAACAACCTGCTCATCACTGAGAGCGCGTTGTGTTTTAGGCGTGGAAGCGCTTCCCTGGTTGAGATGTTACGGTGTAGGACACACCCTCTCACCAAGACAATGAGCCCAAGCCCCTGCCTATGTCCGTCACAGGATCTGGCTTCAACAAATAGCACAGAGAGTTCAATGCATGCCACAGACTACCTATGCTCTATCTCTGCCCACAATCTGCCATTATTATCTCCTCTGTTGTCCCCCCATAGACACTCTGATCATGACTCAGCAAGTCATTTTAATTCACCTCTCCTTCCCCTGAATTTACAACCTCCCTCAGAGCTCCATCAGAGCGTCCCACGGAGCCCACAGCCCCACCGCCACTGCAAGGCTTGCATGTCTCTCCTCCTGAGAGATAGAACGAAGGAAGGTGAATCTCTGGGACACATACGCTCTTTCTCCACATCCACCCAGTTCACTCCAGTCTCTAAGCCAGGCTCACCTCCATCTCCTCATCTGTCAAGGACTCCTTCAGTCACTCTCCCTCCTCTTTTGAGATCAACTTCTCCCCCATCGTCAAACAGTCAAACAACCCCGCTTAATTCAGCTTCACATCTTTCCCCACCCTCACAAGTTGTGCTCCCATGGAGTTTGTATGAAGGTGCAGATCTCACTCTTCTCAACCACTGTCTCCATCACATCGTGGGTCGCAGGACCAGTTCTCCCATCCTCTCGGAGAGAGTCTTTAATCATCCAGTGCACAGCCATGGGGAGGTTGGGGGTGCTTCCTCCTCCGTATTTGAGCGTATAGACAAAAGTCAGAGCTTGGAGGTCCCGCTCTTCTGTAGCCCAAATCTGGACAGGAACCTGATGTTACTGCGACAGAACAGCAAAGGCAGACTGGATCCACTGGTAGGTTAGAGAAGGAGATTTCATTTAGGCTAAATAGTGGCATAGCACCAGCCTGCTGTATCGTTCATGAACCTGGCAGCTGCTTTGCTCCTACGGCTTTTCCATGATAATAGCAAAGTTCAAGAGCCAGTCCCTGCTCCTGCTTAATCCCCAATAAGGATTTAATTTCTGGTCTCAATTTTGGATAAGGTCAGAACATAGCAGGACAGTGTGGCAGCATACAAAATAAGGCGCTAGCAGAGTGTATGGCAGTGAACATGTTGGGTGGCTGAGGATAGATTAATGCTGTAACTCCCATTTTCCATTTCAGCTTACTTTCTTAAACCTTGCCCGCTGCATCGCAACTCCTGCTTTGACGCGTTGAACATTTTAACCTTGTGCTGGATTTATTATAGTAAATACACAAACATCATCTTCTGTTCCATAGCGAGTCATATCATATTATAAATAGAATCCAATAAATGTCACCTCTCTGTGTTTCTGACAGACAGTTTCTGCTCCACCTACGCCAGCCCCTACTGCACCCCAGAGTAGACAGACAGCACAGAGTTTTCCAGCTGCAGCCCCCACTCTACAGACACAGGTTACTGTGCAACCCAGCCAGGAGCAGGTACTGCATGCATCTAACTGCGACAGGCCCTGGCAACAGCTGTAGTGAGAGACACAAAGCAGAATTAGGAAGAAACCGTTTGGAAGTCAACTATTGTAGCCCAATCAGAGCTGCCTTCCTAGATCATATAAATATTTGTTATTATTCATTATTTATTATTATTATTATTATTATTATTATTATTGATTGTTTCATTTATTTGGATCCTGATTGGCTGTTACTGGTATAAAAGCTGCTCTTCCTGGGAAAAAGTAGCTACAACAGATTCATGAAATTAGATAAGTTCAATGAATTAGATGTAGAGTAGTATAAGTAGAATATAAATGAGTTTGGATTGCTGGCTGATCTAAATAAAAGAGCAGGTTTTTTTGTTTACAACGACTTAGCACATTTGGAATGTGGACTAGTTGTATGGTCACTCGCTACTATATTAACTTTGCTTATTTGACATCCAAAATGACTAATTCTGGAGTGGGCGTTCTGTGTCAGCTGTTGAGTGCACTACAGTCAACTAAAACACAAAAACATACATGAAACTAAAGTGCAATTTAGAGGCACCAAGCATCTGAAAACACACGCTTTGTAGGGCATCTGTGGGTGAGGTGGGTAAAAAGTTCACCTGAGTTCCCCTTTTTAAATGCTTCATCATATACTGTATATCTATATATATATATATATATGTGTGTGTGTGTGTGTGTGTGTGTGTATGTGAATGGCTTTTCATTTGCTTTGTGTTTCCTTCCCATTTGTCTTTCCTCCCTGTAGTGCCATCTCCAACCAGCTGCTGTCCTGCCCCAGGTAGAACCATCATCTTTTATAACTTACTGTGGGCTATGGTACATACACTGCAAACCACACAGAATAACTGAATCATAGACTGTCTACCTGCCCTGTAGCTCCCTTTTATTGAAGTTGAGCTTTTAGACCAGAATATCTTGTCAGTTTAATGGAGAATTAGCTGGTACATCCATCAAAAAAAGTCATACTCTCCAGTCAAAGTAAAAAACCGAATATTTGATTTTATTCCTTAGCTGTTATCTGCTGACCAGTCTACATCTCATCTGAGTCCTCCTGACATATCTGCCAGTTTTCCACAGTCAGTCTCCAGTGCTTCTCCCCCACTCCTGCCCCTCCAGATCAGCACACAGGTGCGTTGTGGTAGAGGTAGAAACGTAAGGTAAAACTAAGATAGAGACAGAATAAACATCCTGCAAAGGTTAATACAGGTTACAGGGTTGCGTAAATCATAAAGGGCCTGTGTGAATGTTATTTCTATCGACTGGTTGTCTTTGTTCATTGTATATCCATTTTCCCTCTTTCTTTCCCAGTTTCCCTCACCATATCCCGTTGTTAAAACAGGGGGCCATAAGCCCCCTCCCTTCTCCCAAGCTCCTCTGCCATCTGCCTACAGCAGCAGTGGCCCTTCTATGTCTAGCACCTACTACTCACCCTCACCCCACCATCCCTCCCTTCCTCTGACCCCTCATGCTGCCTTGCCCTCTATACCTACTCTAGGAACCCCTCAGACCCCTCTGTCCACACCTCAGCACGTGCCCAATATGGTGCTCCCAATTCCACTTCTTACCATGGCCATGCCCCCTGCAATGCCCCAGCAGCAGAGCGGCCCTGCTCCATCTCAGCCAAACCTTTGTAGCTTCCATTCCACCCATTACTTACCTCTCTCCCAGGTACGAACCACCCCATACCCCGCCCCCCACCCTGAGCAGGAAATGGCTGAGCAGCCTATCCAGGTGAATATTTGACTCAGTTCTCACTGTAATGGCTGGTCATGGGAAATCTGTAATAGTAAGGTGGCAATCGGTCTTAACCGTTGGTGTAGTGCATGCAGGCCATGCGTTTGGGCATTTGGTAAACAATATTTGTACAATTGAACAATTCCCTAAATGTGTTCTCTTTTTCAGGTACAGACGATTGCTCCACAGGGGAATTTGGGAGATGTTCAGCTTTTGGCTCCGGTCCACCCCGTCTTGCCTTCTGTTCAGACTTCTCTCTGGGGAAGTGGGGTTGATGCAGAGACTACTGCAGCTGGCCTAGACTTAACTGTAGGTCCTGCAGTTCCATCTCCAGTTCCAGCCCCAGCCTCAATGTCAGTCTCAGCTACAGTTCAAGTCGAATCCCAAGCACCGGCACAAACCCCAGCTATGGTCCCAGCACAAAGCCAACCACCAGTCCCAGTATCAGCTCAAGCTGCAGCCATGCCTCAAACTCCAGCTTCAACTCCAATGCAGGTTCCAATAGCAGTACCAGCTCCAGCCTCAGCCCCTGTTAAAGCACCAGTCTCTGCATCAGGTCCCGCTTTTGAACCACCAAAAGTCTCATCTACAAGCTCAGACACGTCTTCTGTTATTGGCAAACCCCAACACACAGGTTTAGTCTCGGCCCCAATCCCTGTCACCCTACCAGCCCCAGTGCAATCTGCAGCCCCCGCTCCTGCTCCAGCTCCCGTCGCAGCTTCAGTCCTAGCTCCAGTTCTGCAGCCTACTGGCATCCAGACAGCAGTCTCATTGCCTGAGTGTGCCAGCCTAGCCACAACTCAGCAAAACCTCGAAATGACATCTGCGTCTAGCACCCTTCAACAAGAGCCCTCTGTAGAGGTAGGGATAAAGCCGAAGTTTGCACCTTTTTGAGTGTAATACTGATATATGCGTACACATTTCCTGGATGAAAATTGTCTCTGCATCAGCAACGTCTTATTATTACTCAGAAAACATGTTCAAACTGGCCGCCTTTTTTATTAAATTCACATCAGTTTTATACTTCTATCCTGATAGCAGCTCACTGAGATAAGCCATCAGGTCGAAAGCTAATAGCACACATTAACATTAATAACACTGCTGTATATTTTCTGTCCGCAGGATGTGCTTCAGGACAAACCAGTATCTTTACTCAACTATGCCTATGACAGGTGTGTGTCTCTACAGATTCTGTTCTCTCTGTAACTTACTGTGATGAAAATGTGTCACCAACCAGTGTTTTCATCTTTTCTTTTTCATAGTCTCAACTCTGATGTGGCATCTGGTAAGGAAACAAGTGACGGCTATGACAGCTTGGCTAGTGGGGGGAAAGGGGATGGAAAACCCAGGAAACACCACCGCAAGTCTGCCCGTACACGTTCCCGGCAAGAAAAGACCAGCAAACCTAAACTTAGCATGCTCAATGTGAGTCGTGGTGTCATTTCAGACAACTGAAGTTACAATTTCTTCAAACTGTAATGCTTGTAATTTTAAAGTGTAACCTCTTCCACCACAGGTTTGCAACACTGGTGATAAAATGGTCGAATGCCAGCTAGAGACTCACAATCACAAAATGGTGACATTTAAATTTGATCTTGATGGAGATGCTCCAGAGGAAATTGCCACTTACATGGTTAGTTCAGCCTCTTACCGTTTATAGCTTTTGTCTTGTCCGCTGGTTATATTTGTATTTTGATATTGTTTATTTTTTAAAACTGTATGCCTACAGGTAGACAATGGCTTCATCCTTCTGTTAGAGAAGGAGATCTTCATCGACCAGCTAAAGGACATCGTGGATAAAGCTGAGGACATGCTGAATGAAGACATAGAGGGTGAAAGGGCCTCCACCTTGAGTTGCAGTCCACAACAAGGCCAAATTTCTGAGGGGTTAGAGGGAGAGGTAAGACGAGGGTACATACACTACAGATACTTACACACTACGATACATATATTTAGACGTGGACAGAGACATATTCATGGACATGGATATAAACGAATAAATACAGAGAGGCAAAGCAAGTGGCAAGTAGCATATTCACGTAGCTTACATCTATTGATCACTCTGCAGAGTCAGCAGCCTGGAGCACCTCAGCCTGTCTATCAGCAGAACGGTAAAAAAAAATTCTCTCTCTAAAATGTAACCATCTGCATATTTAATAAATCCTTTTTTTATATGTGACATTCATATTGTAAAAGCATGGTGTGGTAACTGTCTGAAATCTTGGATTGCAGTTCTTCATACAGGAAAAAGATGGTTCATAATCTGCCCTGTAGAAGAGACACCCACATCCAGCCAGGACACCCCATCTGACGGCACAACTACGCAGTCACCTGGGAGTTCAACCACCACCCAGCCTGCTGACAGCGGCATTGCAAGGCCATCTGCATCCAGAGGTGACTTTGTTTCTACAGAGCAATTTCAGCACAATGTCTGACAGCATCATGGAGCAATAGCACCACCTTGTGGCAGCTAAATGAAAGACATCCCTCAGCTCTCATGGGCATTTGATGACTTTCAAAAAATATTTTTGAATCTTGTAATCTTTTATAAATCTGGCTTATTTTTTCCTCCTGCAGAAGAGGGGTCATCCTCTACAATGTCTGGTGGCAGTGGAGGCTTCTCCTATGATGTGTATGGATTCTGTAGTCCTCCAATAATGTCCAACACAGACCCACTTCTTTTTGCCACTCTGTCACCTCCTGTGTCTGCTCCCCCAACGCTTCAGTCTGTACCATCAGTGGAGCCTGTGGGCAGCTCAGTGCAGCCCAGCGTGCATCAGGCTCAGCCAGCCAGGGCTCAACCTTTGCCCCCGCCGTCCCCACATACATCTTTCCCAGTGGATGAGCCACAGGGATCCCCTCTGGGTTCCATCTCCCCAATCCACGCCGCTCAGCAGATGGCTGACATGACATGTCCTGTTTCTATGGCCGAGGAGGTGCCCTGTTGCCCTCTGGTCATGCCGCTATCTCTGGATGTGAGCGGTTCACAGGGTGGGCCTCCTCTCACCCCGCTTCCCCTCCAGGAGCCAGGTTCAGCCAAAGAGCCGCTGTCTGTCTCTTACACCTCTGCAGTGCGAAGCGAGCGACCACAGCAGCCTGTGGTGCTCCACCAGCCTTTTTCCAGCGTGGGAGGGACCAAAGTGTCCTCACTACCCCAGAGCCCAGCGCCATCCCAGCCGGGAGCAGGGCCCGGTGAGTCAGATGGTGAAGGACGGCTTGGCCGTGGGGGCTTTGTGGACAGCACCATAAAAACACTGGACGAGAAACTAAGGAACTTGCTCTACCAGGAATATGCTCCCATGTATCCATCAGGCAGTGCTGCAGAGACACCAGGCTCCGGCACTGAGTACATTCAGTCTCCTCCTGGTCCAGACAGCGCCACAGGAGGGTCAGGAAACAGCACGCCAGGGCCGATGGGGGAGGGACGTTACAGAGCAGGAGAACAGCTGGTAAGTACAATAACATCAGAGACCCAGTCATTAAGGTTTTTCACAATATAAATTACAGGTTGAATATTTTCACTGTATAGTAGAGCATAATGAAAACAGTTTGATTGACAACAAAGTATTGCATATGCATAAATGTTTTATTTTGTATTTATAGGCATTATTTGTGTGAACAAACCTTTTACAGCGTCAGAAAATATAAAAAACTTAGATTCAGTTGCTATCTGGATGAGATCTATGCATTAAAAGAACTATCAATCTATTTTGAAATTGTTTAGTTTTTTTACAATATAAAATGATGTTTTATCACATTTTTATCACCATTTTTTCTTATATTTCGATTCGTACATTGGGAATTCAAGGGAATTATGGCTGTTATTTGTTGTACATGAAAAACATAACTTATTGGTAGGGTCTGCATTCTGCCATATCTTCTAAATACAGGCAACATTAAGAAGTATATTACAGGACATTGATTAATGGTTTGTATCTGTTTTTGTATCTAGTTTTCTCATGTGTTTTGTTCATCTCTCATCCTGTCACCTTGATTAGCCTCAAATTCCAGAGAGAATGGATAGTTTGAGCACGCTGAGTGACTCAGCCGTGTGTGGTATGTACATCGTACTTTAATTAATGTGTCACAACTGGCATCATTAGCTTTTGACTGAATTTATGTGTTACTGTTAGTTTATTACTGCAGTGGCTCAGTATTCAGTGTTGTGGACATTTTCGCAGCTTCGCTGTCAAGAAGACACGTTCCTCATTCTGCTTCCTGCTCCGGAACAAGAGGTCGATTTAAGGTGCGAAAGGGATATTTTCCTCACATTTAAGGGGAAGTAGTTCTGTCTTTCAGATTAATTCCCACCGCACTTGCTATTAGGAGGAATTAGTAGGAATACTCAGTCTGTTCTTTGCTTTTGGCAGATCATCTCTGTTCCTCCTGAAGTGGCCAACAGACGCGATGTGAAACAAAGGAGCTGGAGCAGCGCCGCCTCACCGGCGCACCCTGTAGCATACAGTGAGGACCATGTTCAGGCTGAGGCCATGGTTACCTCTACCACAATTGGCCGTTTCTCTGTGATTAGCACTGAAGACGAAATTACACAGAGAACACGTTGCAGCCGCTACTCTGCCCCGCCTGATTTCTACCTGGACACACCTCCTTCCATTGCCAAGAGGGGCTCCCTGCCCCGTGCCCTGACCTCGAACTCTGTCCCTGTGGATGTCACAGTCCATGCTCGCTTCCTTTCCTCTGACTCGGGGGCTGAGAGTAGCCCTGCAAAGCTGGCTCCTGCCACCCCATCTCAACATACTCGCTCCGAGCGCAGAGGAAGTGACCTCATGAAGAGGGCAGTGGCCTTCCTCCGTCGATCAGGGCGCAGCAGCAGTGTGCAGAGCTCTGACTCACCAAGTAGGCATGGAGGTGTGCACGGCTCAGCCTATGGCAGCAGCGATAATGACTCAGAGATGGAGGACTCGGACATGAAGAGGGAACTACAGAGACTCAGGGAGAAGTAAGCATAGCCAGTGGTTTACTTTCAGCCTAATTTAGTGTCTTTACTTGAAAATATTTTGTCATTTAGCTTGTAAGTGACCAGTATATTCCTGCCCTCACCCCCTCAGACATCTGAGGGAGATCTCTGAACTGCAGGCCCATCAGCGGGGAGAAGTGGAACTGCTATATCGCCGGCTTGGCAAAGCCCCTCCTTCCGGCCTGGGTCTGTCACACGTTGCACCACATGCCGGCCGTAGAAAGAGATCCAGCAAGCACAAGCTGAAGCCTGGCAAACTTCTCAGCCCTCTGGTTCAACAATTTAGAAATGTCACAACCAAAACTAGTGACTCCAGCAGATCCAGTCAGTATCTTTTCAGAATCTCCAGCGTTGTAAGTCCAATATTTACAAGGAGTGTACGATTCTGATGCTTGTGCGTGTGTCTTTGTATGTGTGTGTGTGTGTGTGTTCAGGTGCTGCTACAGGTACAGGTGAGCCCACGTTGAGTTTAAATGGCTCTCCAGCCAAAGGGTCTTTCCCCACTCACGGCAGGGCGCGGTCGTGCACGAGCCACATTCCCTGCTCAACCTCAGAGCCTGTGCAGACTCAGCAGCCCTGTTCCCTCAAGGGGTCTTTGTCGTCTGATAACATTTACGCTGGATTACATGGAGACGGCACCGGCACACAAGTTCCACCCGGACAAGGTGACCACAAGCGACACAGTTCTTACACTAGACTGTAAACCTCTAGATTCCGCAGATCTAGAACAGCAGCAGATCTAGAACAGAACAGCAAACTCTTCTTAACAACTATGGTGGTTTATTTAATAAGGTTGGGTATTTCATTGTGTGCTCTTCTTACCCTGGTGTCTTTCTCCCTCTTTGATTATACTCCTCTACAGGCTGGTCTAATTACCCTCAACCGTCTGAGAGAGTGACCTATAAATCCAGTAGCAAGCCACGAGCTAGATTTCTCAGTGGGCCTGTGTCTTTGTCTATCTGTTTGTATCTCCTCTTTTCTCGCATAGCGTCACTTGTTTGTTTTCCATATGTTCTATATCTCCTCTTTAATCTCACTGATATCCTTTTTTTCCGTCTTTGCCAAACCGTTGTGCAACACTACTGGGTTTTCTTTTGCCTCGCCTCATTCTTATTACTTGCTTTTACCTTGTGTTTTATGCTTGCACAGAAAGATATTGTTTATTCAAACCCCCTGAAGATTAAAGTTTGTTCTGAAAAAGTAAACTTTTGATTGATTAAATGTTTGTTTTTTTCATTTTAAAGGTTATTTCGAAAACCCTTTCCAAATGTGAATCATGAATTTAAACAATTATCATAGACCAAGAAATTGCCTAATATAATAGCTCGACCTGTTGCCTTGTTTCAGATGTTTGAGGTTTGGATAATCAAGATTCATTATAATAGTAATGGACATTATCTCACATTTCATGTGTCTTCTACTGATGCTTCTGCTGTTGTTATCCACCATGCATTACTAGGCAACGGACTTTTGCATGTCACATGCACGCCAATCTGTTATAACATTTCTAATCTCTCATCTCTTTTTAGCCTCTCTCTTTTCTTACCACTGCCTCTCTAACAATCCAAGCTGCACTCTCAGCCTCTCACATGGGCCACCTGCATGACTTTTCTTGTTTCAGGGGACTTATTGCTTTGATTACCCATTTATTTTGGTTTTAGTTTTCTGCTTTGTTTTGCGGCAGTATTCAGAAGCTTTGTTTCACACTGCGTCCTGTTATTGATCATCATTACTAAGTAATGCTAATGATAACTTGTATAAGGTCTTTTTTATCTTTTAGGGTCAACACTGAAGCGACTGTGTCTCGGCAAAGAGCGTGGCAGCAGTATGTAGAATTCCAGTGTCTCACTAAAATGAATCTCAATTTATTGAGCTCGCTAAATTGAGCTATGTAAACTTGGTGTGTGTGTGTGTGTGTGTGTGTGTCCTCCCAGGGTCTGCGGCTGGATCAGGGGCTTTTAATCAATCACAGCAGCCGCCTACTGGTGCCACACCTCCTCCTCATCAGCCAGTGATGGGACTGGCCCAAGCTCAGGCCAATAACAGCAACAACAAGACAGCCACATACACTGGCACTTCAATGAGTGGCAATGAAAGCAATCTGCCTGAAGACTTGCAACGGCTGATGGACGACTGGGCCCAGGAGGTTCTTATTGTCACCCACAGGCCACGCACTAACTCTCTGAGCATCAGTGGGCAGCACCTGTGGGATCAGGTTGTACCTCGAACACATAGACAACTGGCTAGTGCTTCAGATGTGAGTTTCATGCTAGTGAGTTTCATGCTAGTTATGCAGCATTATGCTACATATACATAAATGTGTATGTATATGTAAGTGTGTATGTATGCACACACACACACATATATATACATATATACACATATATATACACACATCATATAAATATATAGATATATAGATAGATAGATATGATAAGTTGCATTCTTGCTCACTGATTGTTCTTGACTTCCTAAGACATATTACCACATACTGTAAGATTATTAGTGAATGCCTACACAACACCGACGCAATTTGTGCTCTGTTTACATGTCAGAGTTTCTGCCATTTTACCACAAGGAAATTAAATTTACACCGCACATTTCATTACAAGTAGTGTGCTTTACAGCGAATGCCTATTTAGGTAGTTCGTTTATTGACTTAAATATCACAAGACAAACAGCAAATAACAAACAACAAGTAACATGTACCGAAGAGTGTAATAAATGTAATTCAAAGACAGTGAGGAATGCTACATTACATCCACCCCACAGACACTTTCACACAAACGTGCTGTAGCTAAGCTTGAGAGACTAGAAAAGTTTACAGTTAAGTTTTAAATGTGCTACAGGTTGTCAGGTAGCACACTACAAACTATATATACACTACTTTGTGTATTTACTTACATAGTTGCATTGTGTAAATGTAGTTAATCATTGTTGTGAAGTTGTGTATCTGTCCACTATCTCATCCTTTTTAGATATCATCATGGACGGCCTCTGGTCCAGAGGCCTGCAGTCTGCTCCTGTCATGGCCTGACAGCCCGGGGTCAACAGTGATGACCACTCCCTCCACAGGACCCCATCCCAGCTATCAGCTACACTCTCCTGCTCCGTTAAGGGCCTTCTCCTCTTTCCCTCTCCCTTCAGGAGTTTTTGCCTTTCCTGCTGTGCCCTCAGCCCAGGACACCCCCACTCCGGCTCCAGCTAAATCATATCAGCCGCCTGACCCCAAAGCCAGGACTCTCTAACCTGAGTAGCATTGCGTCTTCCAACTCTATTACCAAAAAGAAATCTCATTATACTCCTAGTCAATCTTATGTGCATATACTGTATATATTTAACCAGCATGTATGTAACCATATGTACATACTCGTCTCTATTCTTGACTTTTATTTTGTTTCATTTGCATCAACATACCTCATGTCCATATTGCAGTACATAATCCTTGAGTGCAGTGTAATGGTAGTAGTACATTTAAAGATGTATAGTTAGCCCAGTCAGGCTTAAAAAGTGCAGATTTTGTCATTGCTTACATATCTTTCCACTCACTGAATGTACATAACGTACTGTCCATTCATCCTGTGTTTATATAAATAGTTCATGTTTGTGTTGCTCATATCACTCCTATATAGAAGCTGCCGTGTGTATATATATGAATTCTTGTTAGTCTGTACATAGCTCCTGTGTTTGTACAGTTAACATTAGATAATCCATAGGTTGGTGCTGCAGCTCTGTGTCTTAATGCAACACCTTATTAGCCACCATCATGCCGTCACTGTGAAGACTTGACATCCTGGTCACTAGGACCGGTTGCTTTACTCTGCTCTCTCAGTCCAAGGATAGGTTTCATTCTTCATCGATGAAATGCTTCCAGCACAAGCGCTTGAAATATCCTTAAGAGATTTGAATGAACTTGAACTTTATCTTCAGGTGAAAAAAAAAAAAAAACACCTGTGAGAGTGCCTTGAATTGCAGTTTCAGTTTTCTGGAGAAAAGCAGACACTAGAGATTATATATATGCTTTCACCTTCAAAGGTAAATTACATGATTTGAATAATGAATGTGGATTAAAACCTATTTGATTTACAGAACAGAACAACTGATCATAATTAATCACAATAATCTGGTCATGTTGCAGTTGATAAAATATTACAGATTATAAAAAAGTCCAAAACTGAGTTAGGTAATTTAATATTTTAACTGTGGGTTTTTCCTTGTTCACTGATTTTCTTGTGGGATTGCTCTACAAACTGCACCACAGCCTGCATGAATACACTGATATTCTGAATGTGCACAGGTTGATGTGGTGAGTTACAGGAGGATATTGTGAAGAGAAACTGGCACTGAAACCATACGACAAGGAGGGCTGAAGGACTCAACATACGAGTCAAAATCATAATCATCCCATACCTCTGCTGATGCAGTCTGTAGCTTTATATATTGTTGCCTTTGTGGTTTTTAAGAGATTACTGTGTGGTTGGTTGTTGTTTGATAAAATGCTGATGATATGATGATGTTAGAGATGCAGTCATGAAGAATGTGAATTATTGAGAAGCAACAACTGTTTGACATGTTATTTGTACAATGCATAGGTTTTGTAAGTCATGTTTATTAGATGCTGGCCTCACACGATCATCTGGCTCATACATCTAATTGTATGTATTACGGCTTAACTCAAAGATCTCCACCAAATATTGCACTATCACTGTTTCGGTTATTTCAATAGTAACGCCTCAAAAACACTTTCAATACTGACTTCTCTTGTCTAACTTCTTTAATTCCCTTGTGGAGAGTAGTTTGTTGAATGCATCAGTGTTTTGATGTATCCTATGAAAACAAAGCAGTAGCAAAAATCTATGTAGTCAAAAGCAGGATGGGCATAATGAGTCAGGCAGTTCTTCAAAACTGAGACAGCCATTGTAAACACATCGCTTAAGTGCAGACTGAACTTAACAAAACGGTTACTTTAAGTTCTAACGCAACATTTTTTTTTCTTTTTTTCAGTTAAAGGGGTAATCAGTTGATTTAGTACTGCACTTCCGTACAGTTGGGGGTCTAACAGTGGTCAAAATGATACAGACAGAGGCTGAGATATCCTGACTGTTAGTCCCCAGTACGGGTGAAGTTCCAGAAACGCTGGAGCCTGCATTTCCCATAATACAGCTCTGTAACATCTTTGACGTCATTAGAGTTATTTTTCAAATTTGGGAGAGCTTTTTCTAGAGCCACAGAAGACATTATACAGCAGTTTGCACAGGCTAAGTAGTAGCATACTCCTTGTAATGAGTAAACTGAACTTTATGTAAATTTGTGCCCCTATAAAATCCCTCCATGTTTGCAAAAGTGTGACAATATTTTGATTTAAACTTAATATTTGTCTTAAAGGCAGAATTTCTTTCATGATGACTGGATGATGATTTTGTTTTTCTTGAGAACATGTCCTATCCTGCTATTTTCTTTGTGCTTCACACAGTAATTCCTGTCTTTGATCTCTTTAACGCTTGCAGTGAAAGCTAGTTGTATGTTTGCTTTTGCCTGCTGTTTCCCCCACACTTTCCTGACCTCGTCAGATCGGTTCTCTTTCACAAAAGCTGTACATACGTGAAGACAGTAATAATAAATTCATTTTTGCTCGACACCATGCAGTGTTAGTCATGTTCTTGTTTCATTCACAGTTCACTCTGAGCAGATCAATCCTTATTTGTCTCTTGTTTTCTAACCAGTGTTGTCTGTGTGTGTGTGTGTGTGTGTGTGTGTGTGTGTCTGTGTGTGTGTGTGTGTGTGTGTGTGTGTGTGTGTGTGCATGTGTGTGTGCTTGTCACATGCAAGTGAGGCAGGACGAGAGAGAAAGAAGAGTTTGCCCTTTTAAAAAAAACTTATGTACACATTAATGCTGTCCTTGTCTGTTTGAGTTTAAAAGACGGTTTCAGCCGCCCGGGCTGCACTCTGGTGGGAGCCATCATGGAGAGAGCTGTGGTGCAAATCACCCTCTTTGGGCTGCTGCTGGCTTTGGTTACCACACTGCCAAACAAGGTAAGGTCACAAAACCTAAACGATAGAGCACCACACAGCAAGGACACAGAATCTATATAGATGTATCTATATTAATGTACCTCTGCATCTTTGTCAGTTTCATCAAAAAAGCGCAGGTTGAAGGACCTGCTGGCTCTCTACCGTCGTTGTGGTTTCATGTTCATACGTGTGTTTGAATGTGCATTAATGTTCAATACGTCTAGTCACAGTGGAGGGCCTCAACACTCTTTTAGGGACAAAAAACGAACTATATTTTAGTGTTAAGACTTGGTAAGGGTTAATTTTATGTTGAGGAAAACCTTAAGGCTAGAGTAAGTCTTCAGGGACTTTGTAATTCAATGTAATGCAAATGTTGTGCACACACACAAACACACACACAAATAGTATCACTAGTGTACATGTGCAAAATCATTGTGATATCAAAATGAAAAACAATGAGAATGGGGTGTTTCTGTGGTTAGACCAATGAGATTTCTTTGATACCTCCCACCAATACTGTGTTTTTCACCTTCATCTGATCTTTGGTCAGCTAGTTGTCAGCCAGTGATCAATGAAGCCTTTTTTTTTTTTTTTTTTTTTTATTATTGTGAAATGTGCCTCCCATATTTGCTCAGGATGACTGGGACATCTACAGCTTTCACATCAACTCCACAGTGACCGCTCGTTATTCTACTACTGTCATCACAAGTCGTGTGGTCAATCGTATGGAAGAATCAAAGGAAATCGAATTCCTTGTCCGGATTCCCAAGAACGCCTTCATTAGTAAATTCAGAATGTATGTGAAGCAAAAGTGACCTGTGAATATTTACAAGAATTTTCACATAATGAATTACACATAAAAAAATAAAAAATGCAAATAAGTCATGGGCAAGTCAGGAGTATGTTTATAAACAAGGTCTTTTTCTTGGTCTTCTTCAGGTTTATAGATGGACAGGTGTATGATGGCATTGTGAAAGCTAAGGAGCAAGCTCAGCAGCAGTACACCGAGGCTGTGTCCCGTGGCCAAAGTGCTGGGCTTGTCAGGTACAACATGGATCAATAGATCAATTTATTGCCAATTCTTATACAGGTGGTTTTTATGTTGAATTTTGTAGAACACATTCATGTGTCCTTTGGGATAGGAACAAAATAAAAGTAAAAAAAAAAAAAAAAAAAAAAAAAAATCTTCAATCAATTTATTTTGTTTTTTCTCAACTTCTTGGTTTTTTCTTGCAAATACTTTCATATCTTCAGGTTTCTAAAATCCTTCAAATGCAACAATCTCAGAAGAAAAAAAATCACTGTTTGTTTGAATTAATTATAATTCACACCCACACTAAGTTCATAACCTGTGATGAGGGGCCACAAGAAGACATTGTTTCATATTAAATATAAGGGAGTATGTTTATGGTCTGTGTTGCAGTTCTGTGGGGAGGACCCTGGAGGAATTTAAGACCTCCGTGACTGTCGCTGCTCACAAGAAGGTGACTTTTGAACTCACATATGAGGAACTACTGAAACGCAGGCTTGGCAAATACGAGCTGCAAATCCACGCTCGCCCCATGCAACCAGTCAAAGACTTCAAGGTACGTCTTTCCTGTTGGTATCTACTCTCTGTTCATCCAGGAAAAAAATAAAAGAAATAATGCCGTGGTAAAACCATCTTTCATGGCCCCAGCTTCTAACTACTGCGTTTTATTCTCAATGCCAGGTTGATGTGTACATTCACGACAAAGCTGGCATCAGTTTCATTGAGGTTAAAGGAGGACTAAGCACCAAAGCTCTGGCTAATGCCATCACCAAAACACATATAGACAAACAGGTACAGCATGCAATGACACATGATTCTGATTGCATTTAACTTAAATGATATCTTATTCTGACCCATATTTAGCTGTTTGACTCATGATGTTGTAACCCTAACCCTAACCCATAATAACAATGTACATACCACTATTGCTCATCCTTGTGGACAGTGTTCCTCATTCATATTAATATACAGTATATCTACATGCACATTTGCAACAGCACTTTCTAGTTAGATGGCAAACTGCATTTTCTTCTACCAGCAGTTATCAACACCATGCAGTGTCAATATGGATGAATCTAATCAAATTTGATGAAATAGAGACTAGTCTTTTTCACCAATGAAACCCATTTGTTGATTCTTCCTGTTTCCAGGCGTGGGTGCATTTCTACCCCACAGAGGACCAACAGAAAACGTGCGACAGCTGTGGAAAGCAGGGTATGAATGGAGATCTGGTTATTGTTTATGATGTCAACAGGGATGCCTCACTGGGAGACATCAAGGTACAGCAAGAGTTCACTTCCTGGAAGACTATTGACTTTGATTTATTAATGTTGCACATAAAAAATCAGTAAAAGCTAAAAAATAATGATTAAAATACTGTAGCCTACTTCCTTAAGTTGATATTTTATCTTCACCTGTCTTTTCTAACTAATCCAACTTTCTTCTTACTCCCCTCAAGACATCAGATGGCTACTTTGTTCATCACTTTGCTCCATCTAGTCTTCCCCGCATACCGAAGAATGTTGTCTTCGTTATTGATCAAAGTGGCTCCATGCATGGCAGAAAAATACAACAGGTACAGTGTGAGGAAGCGTTTTAGTTTTTAGTTTACTGTATGTTACTTTTACAGTCAACTTTATTTAGTACACAATATAAGAACACACATGAAACAAACATTATTAAATGGTATCTTACTTGAATAAAAGTTCTAATGCATAAATATTCTTTTTTCCTCAGACCAGAATAGCATTGATCCATATCTTGAATGACCTGGCAGAGGATGACTACTTTGGCCTCATCACTTTTGATGGCTCAGTTTCTCACTGGAGACGAGAACTTGTTCAGGCCAGCAAGAAAAACCTGAATAGTGCCAAGAAATTTGCACAGGGTATTACAGATAGAGGAGGTGAGGTTTTACAATGAATATATTTATTTTGGAGTGTCAGAAGTATTTGACAGCAGAATGTCAGGAATTCAACATTTTTCTCATCTCATTTTAGCCACAGACATTAACGAAGCAGTGTTGGAAGGAGCGAGGATGCTGAATGCGCATCCCAGAGAAGGCTCAGCGTCGATCCTCATACTTCTCACTGATGGAGACCCAACCTCAGGTAATGATAAAACACACATGCGTAAATACTTAAAGAAATAAACATATGGTCCCTAACAGCACAGTCCATTTTTAAATGACCTGTCATTGATTTGACTACAGTATTTTTCTCAGTTCCTGTCTCCTGTCAGCTGACTAAAACCCACCTGTGCAGGACTTTGAAGATCATGGACATTTCATTTTAAATGACACAAACACTATTTACAATTAAGTCCGTGTACACACTCTACACACTTTCACTTATCACAGGAGAGTTGTTTGATTGTACTGTGTCAGGGAATTTGAGTTCGACTTGCCTATTTAAACCACGTGTCTTGTGTCTTTGCAGGGGTGACGAATCTTGAAACAATACAGTCAAATGTCAGAAAGGCAATTGCAGAAAAATTCCCGCTCTACTGTCTTGGTTTTGGCTTTGATGTCAATTTTGACTTCCTGAAGACAATGTCACTGCAGAACAACGGTGTGGCACGACGGATTTATGAGGACTCTGATGCTGATTTACAGCTGAAGGTGTTTTTGAATTGCCTTCCTTCACATGATGAATACTCTGCTCATCATTTGAATCTGCGACATTTTCACAGACAAAACTGAGCATAGTTGACTGTGGAGAGATGAAGCATTCCTATGGTGTCCTCACTGTGTGTCAACAGGGTTTCTATAAAGAGGTGGCCACTCCTTTGTTGACGGACGTGACAATGATCTATATGGGTGGGACCAATCTAACCCAGACTAATTTCAGCCAGTATTACAACGGCTCTGAGATCGTGGTGGCCGGTCAGATCACTGACAATGACATCGAAACCTTCACCCCACAAGTTCTGGCCATTTCAGTAAGGCTCAATCCACACTGCACATCAGCTGTAATATTCTCAAAGGGTTATGAATGTCCCAGTGTATACTTAACAATTAATTTGGACTATATGACAGGGGACTAGAAAGGTGACATTTTCTGAGTCAAACCTCACTGTGGAGTCCACTGAAACAGTATCTGACGGCCTCATCCAGAGGGTTTGGGCCTACCTCACAGTGAAACAGCTTCTGGAGAAAGAGTGAGTGTAATGTCGACCACCTTTTCTCTTTGTTCTTGTTTGTAATCAGTTATTTATTTATTCATATTTCTATATAATCAATGAATTATTGAGTCTATGAAATTTAAGAAAATATTGGAAAAGGCCCATCTCAGTTTCCCAGAACCTGAGGTGACATCTTAAAATTGCTGAACCAGAGAATATTTATCACTTTTGCTATGACTTAAATGATTTAATCAATTATCAATTATCAATTGTTGACTGATTTTATGTCAGTCAGTCTTTGGCCATTTCCCCAGGGCTCACAGAAATAAACAAAAGCAGGTTTCTCATTTCTAGCTGATGATTTTTCTCTGAAAATTAAACAGCAATGTTTGAAATATGCACAAAGTGGGAGATGGCCAGATGGCTGCAAAATTTGTTTCAAAAGATAAACAATTTCCTCACACCTTACTGTCACGTCAGCTATGACATTTAAAACATATGTGTACACGACTCGTGACACAGGCTGAAGTTATCTGAACCTGAGAAGGAGCAGGTGAGGAAAGAGGCCTTGGAGCTGTCGCTGAAGTACGGCTTTGTGACCCCGCTCACATCCATGGTGGTCACCAAGCCTCCGGGGGAGAACACAGACGTGCTTCATAAACCCAAGGAAGGGGAACCGCTGCAAACGAGATATGTTCAAGGGCGTGGTCAAGCCCCTCCAGGAATGTTCCAGTTGGGGGCAGCTTCAGGGATGAGTGAGCAACTACAATGTGAACAAAACATACAATTCAAAATCAATAGTATTCAGCTTCTCTTTTTCTCTTTATTTCAGAGGAGACATGTTTGCATTATTTGGTATCAGGCGGTGTAATTACAATGCGGAAATACAGTTATTGAATTTAATGAGAATTATAGATTCCCTGTATTCAGTTTGTGGGTATTGATAAATCAAATTTCAAGTGTTGGATGTGGAACTGAACTGAAGAATTTGAGCATGAAATACAGTCAATGAACAAGAATTAAGTGATTAACCAATTGATTATTTTGTTTCATGTTGTATCTTAAATTCATGTTGTTTTCTTTTTCTTTTTAGGGGACCAAAATCTGAGAATTGCTTATGATTCTGGCTTACCTCCAGGTATGACATTAGCACATACATACATATACACTGATCTGATAAAACTACATTACATCTATTTTATTGTATGTAAAATAAAACCCTGGTCAGGGTTAGAGAATGGAGTTGCCTGTCATCGCCCGTCACCCTCTGCAGAGCCTAGTAATAGGTCAAAGCTTTTGGCCCATTTAACTGTGTATTGATAATAATAACATCACCTCTAGAAGAAGTAACATGAAGCCATAGCCATGTGTGCTCGCAACCTGCAGATGAAGGCCAGGACCTCGGCAGTATGAGGCACAGCTATAAAACATTTGCAAGGACATTGGCGAGATCATGATGGGAAGTTATATGAGCAATGTGAGGAAGCCTTACGACAGTTATATGTTTCTTTAGGGATCATTCAGCAAGAGTTGTAAGTGGTACTGCTTGAATAAGCGGTGCTCTGGCTAATACCACAGGTCATTCAGTCCTTGTATAATCTAGCAAAGTCTTGGTGAGGTTTGGTCTCTGACATGACAGACCTCTGCTTTGACAATGATGTAGTTCTGTTCTTCATCGCACTCTTGGTCCGCTTGGGTTGGGAGGTATGAAGAAGCATTGCAGGTTCTTGTTAACCTGTGATGGACTGACAAATGAAAGTGGGACTGGTGCAGTTGTTTGCCTTAGCCTGCAGACAAAGCTCTCTCTTTTCTACCTTCCAGCCTCCCCTATCACACATGTAAGAATTGTGATGTAAGATAAAAATTTGTCTCGCCCCTGTCGGTCACACTGAGGGGTGTCTGGAAAAAGCTCAGAGTAGGACTACTTCTGTGTTGTGTTGAAAAGGAAATAGTTTTAGAAAATAATTTTGAGGTAGTTGTCTCATGAATACAAAATCTCACAGTTTTTTCTTCGAGGAAATTCTTATCAGTAATACTACCAAAGACTGCAGTAATTTTAAATGTGTAATATTCAAAGTTTATAGAGACGTTTCTAAATATTACTAGTTATATTGTAGCTGTAACTAACATGTACATACAAAATGTAAAATGACATGAGATGAAAATGTACATATGCAGGATAATAACAGATGTTTAATAATTAGATTTGACTGTTTATTTTCCAGTTTTCAGTAAAAGGAGAAGCGGGCGCCCTCTTCATGGCCTCACTGCACACAGCCATATAAAACAACTTGCAGGTTAACTTCTATTTCTGGGCCAATTCTGACTGACAATACTTCAAATTTTGTAATTATGGCACCAACCACCTATGTTCAACTAACAAGCATGGAGGCAGTGCATACTTCCACCAAGGCTGGACAATCCTGTAAATTGATCCCTCCAATGATAAATCAATCAATAAAAGGTGCAAAGATCATATAGCCAAATAGGAAAATGCCCCCCCCCCCCCCCCCCACAAAAAAAAAAAAAAAAAAAAAAAACAGAAAAAAAACAGCTGTACTGCTAACCTTGCATGGATGCGATTGCCTTCATTGTTTTATGGGAAATGCTGTTTAAATAATTTGCTTGTAGTAATCAAGTCGTCCTTTT